GGTTCCGGAGGAACCTGCAGCCCACCCTCACCTACTGGAGCGTCTTCTTCAGCTTCGGCCTCTGCATCGCCTTCCTGGGGCCCACGCTGCTGGACCTGCGCTGTCAGACCCAGAGCTCCCTCTCCCAGATCACCTGGGTCTTCTTCTCCCAGCAGTTCTGCCTCCTGCTCGGCAGCTGCCTCGGAGGGGTCTTCAAGAGGACGTAAGGCGCCTGGCAAACTCATCGCACCTCCCGCGGGTGGGCTTAGCTCTCCGCAGCCCCTCCGCTTTCCTCCCGGGCCGGGGGTGGGCAGCCCACCCTGGGCTTCGCCTCCCTCCCACGTTCTCCCGCCGGGTTTGCATGGCTGAGCTGGGATGCTGCGCTCCGCGGGGGGGAAAAACCCTGTCCCGGAGGGCCCGCCGCCCTCTCGCCCCAGCGGCTCGGAGGGAGGGGGCTTCCCGGGAGGTGCGGGGCGGGAGCCGCTTTGCGGGCCGCTGCTCTCCTCTCCTGCACGTTCTCGTACCCCTGGCGAGAGGCTGCCGGTTCCCCTGGAGCTCAGGACAGAGAGAGCCTTGGCGTGAAGTTACAGCCAGAACTTCCTGGAGGGTATTTTCCTTAACCTGATTGTTTATTATAAAAATATTATTGCAAGCCTGTTTTAATAACCTCGGTGTCAGAAATCGGGGCATTGCCGTGCTCCTCAGGAGTTTGGGCAAACACGAGGCGAGATGCGAGCGGTCCTCACGGTCTCGCTGCCGCGGGGGACGAGGGCGGAGGCGGCGCGGGGTGGCCGGGGACAGCGGTGGGCTTCGTGGGCAGCGAGAAACCCAGTGCAGCCCAGCGGGGATTTGCACTGAGCCTTCTGTCCAGGATGTGTTTAAAATAAATAATAACGTGATGGCTCAACCCTAAAGATCGCCAAACAGGCATTTGATTTGAGGCTTGATGACAGCTATGCTCTGCTGAGAATCAGCTGATCGTTTACATTGTCACTAATTCTTCAGGCAGTGATGTAACGTGTCAGCTCCGTGTGCGTCTCTGATGTACATGTCATATAGATGTATGTGTTTAACGTGTCTATGAGGGAATTTTGCATGAATCCTTCGCTGCTTTAAAAAGCCTGTTTTAAAATGTGTTGTTAAACTCTTGTATTGTGAATTGTGGAGCGTTGGCTAAGGAAGATGGCATTAGAGCACCTGTTAAATTGCCGTCCTGGTCCATGGAACTGCCCTGCTGCCCCTGTCCCACGGAGCCCAAAGGCTTCCCGGGGCAGCAGGAGCTGCTCTCCGTCGGGCTGTGCCGGGAGAGGAGGTGCGAGGTGGGGTGCACGGGAACAGGGGCGGCACGTGGGAACCTTGCCCTGGGTCTGACACGGCTCCGAGGCTGCTGGGTCAGCAGGCAGTGCCTTTGCCAGCCCCCAGTCTGCTTCACATATGTTGGAAGGAGCAGGGAAGGAAAATGCAGAATTATTTCCCGCTGTCGGCTTCCTACCCAGAGCTCCTGCCTGTGGCCGGCAGGTTACGCAGACCCGGTCGGGGTTTCGTGCTCGGAGACTCCCAAACTCTTAACTCTGCAGCAGCACGTGGGGGGAAAGAGCGTGTCTGTTGCTCGCTGCGGTTACGAACCAGGATGCGTTCGTGATCGCAGCCTCTTGGAGCAACCGGCTTTTGCAAAGTGTCTGCCAGCCCCCCAGGAGCGGCAGCCCTGCCAGGCAGGAGGGCATGTTTCGGATAGTTGTAGCTTGCGAGCGTTGCGGGGGGTTACTCGGAGCGGTGCGGCGTGCAGGCGCGTGGGTTTGGACGAGAACATTAACTGTTCAGACCCTAAGAGCTCCTGTACTATGCCCTCTTCAGGGATGGACAGGTCAAGCTGTCCTGCTAAGGATTCCTACTTCTGGGCCATGCTGCGGGTTTATAAATCAAATTATCCTGGCCCCGGTGCCCGGCAGGGAGGAGTGCTGGACAGATCATCTTTTCCAGTTAGGGGATGGATAGCTGCTGGTAGAGGGTCCCAAAGCATCGCCTGCCTGCAAGCCAGCTGCGCCGAGGTCTGGCTGCAAGCTGTGTTTAATTTCTAATGCCTGAGGAACGTAGACTTCGCTGCTTGCTTTCAATTAAAATATGTATTGGTCTGAGCTCTCTGAATGATGGACTTGTGAGGGAAAGCAGTGTCGTTACTGCATTCTGCAGCAGAAGTGGGTGGTGGGACCTAAATAATGGTTTGGTTCCTCTTGCCAGAGAAGCTGCTGAATGCTGGGTCGTGGTCTCTGCTCTCTGGGCGCAGCTGGAGTCCTGGAGCACTGGGAGGACAGAGCATAATGATGGCATCATCCCTTCTGTAACTCGGAGTGTGCCTGGACTGCCAGAACCAGCTCCAGAATTCCCTCTCGTGCAAGATTTCAAGGAAGAAGAAAGTTTGCTATTGCGAGTTTCCCCGAGCGATGTAGAAACACAACTGTTGCCTGCGAGGCTCTGTGCTGGGGCCCGGGTTTGCTGCGCGGCCCCTTCCCTGGCTTCTCGGGAGGCGCAAAGCCGGAGCTGCGGGAAGAGCAGCTCCCGCGTAGCTGCGTGGCGCGTTGTTTGAGCCCGCGCTCGGGTTCACGACGGGCTGCCGCTCTCTGGTGACTCGTGCTTGGCGTTTGCTGGGTTGTTCTTCTGCTTCAGAAGAACAGAGCTTTTTCCATTCGCATGAGTGGGGTTGGGGTTTAGGTGGAGCGCGTGCCCTGGCTCAAACCCTGGTGCTGCCGTGGTAGAGGTTCCTCGAGCAGCGTCAGCCCTGGCAGCAGCTGATGCCCTCCGTCGGGAGCCCTGGGTGCCGTTGCGTGGAGCACGCTGAAGGCTCTTGTTTCCTGGTATTACCGGGACTGGGTTCTCGGGAGTGCCCGACACGTCGTGAGACTGCGAACCCGGCCAGCAGCGCTGGGGTGGGAGTGCTGGGAGGGCTTGAAACCCTGCCCAGCCTCAGAAACCCGAGCGGGAGGGAGCTCCTTGGTAAATCCAGCCCCGAGCGCCTGGCGCTGCAGACTCCAGGGGCGAGCTCTGCACACCTGCATCCCCCGCCGCTCCCCCTCCTGCTTCCCTTGCCTTCCCCTTTTCCTTTCCCATTTTGTTGGGTTTTAAGCTTGCGTTGTGAAGTTAAAGTCACGCTCCCTCTGTGCTGCTGTGCTACACGTTTGTGACAGAAGCAGCAGAGTAACTGAGCGCCCGTGCCCCAGTTTGGTTGTTTTCATTCAGAAAGTGCATTTTTGCATCCTTATAGAAGGACCTTATTTTCTGCTTTTGCTCCCAGTGTTCGGGTCAGCCCTGGGCCAGTCCCACTGGTGTTCGCAGAGGAGGGGAGGGGGCTGGGAGGTCTGTGGCTGTGTTGGAGCCCTGAGCAGGCTCTGCTCGAAGTGATTCACACCAGGACCTGGGGGGCTGGTGAGATGGGACCCTTCTTTCATCTTTACCCCTGGGCACCCGTGCATGTCACAGCACGTCAGCGGAGAGTGGGTGACCCTGTTCTCTCCCTGCCCTTCAGGCTCCCATCTTCTGAAGGCTTCTGTTCAAGCCTGTGGCTGGTGCAGAGGATGCTTCTCACTGCAAAGGAAAGTAAAGCCTTTTGCTGCTGAGACCAGAGAGCACGGTGACTTGAGCGTGAGCTCCTCAGGGGAGGCAACGCTCCCTGAGCCTGGCTGGTGCTTACAGCTGGAAACGAGGGTACCTGAGGGCAGGTGTGGGATAATCCATGCCCTCCTCTTCCTCTGCGTCCTCACCTCGTCCCCTTAGGGCTTTGGGTTTTTAATTATCAGTTCTGCAAGTCTGAATTAGCCTGATTATCATTTTTCTTCTTGATGTGAGGGACTTAGAAAATGTTCCCTGGGGTGGGGAAAAACATCCTCGAAGTTGAAGAGTGCCTGCTCTAACAGGAACACCGAGGTGGGGGGTTATATACGCTGCGTGGGAAGGAGAGGGGAAGCTCTGCTGGCTGTGCCTACAGGATAGCATTGACTGCCCTAATCCTACAGAGGAGATCAGCTGAAATGTTTTGGGGGGGAGCTGCAGACCTTCCCTTAAGCCTTGTGATGGAGCCAGGCCGTGTGCTGGGTGCTCCTGAAACACAGTCCGTGGCATTACAAGACTTGTTCCGTGTGCTGAAGCGGAGCCTGCACTGGGGACAGCCCCAGCTGGTGCAGAGCTGAGCTGTGCACCCGCTCAGCCGGGGACATGGGGACCGGGCAGCGATGGGGAGGGCAGCGATGTCAGAAACCGGGCCAAGGCGTTACGTCAGGGTTGCTTTTTAAGCCCTTTGGAGGGGTGCGTTTGTTTCACATCGTCAAGACACGGAGTTCACCCCCTCTGAAAGCCGTGGGATACCTCAGTTAGGGATGCTTTCAAAGAGGTTTGGTTCTAAAGAAATCTCCCAGCTGGTTGTCCAGTGCCTCCCTGGGTGCTGAGGTTGTCCGGTGCCTCCCTGGGTGCTGAGCAGTGTCCTTTGACCACATTTTGGGCATCCAGCGTGAGAAGCCAGCAATGTCTTGGTCCCCCCAATGCCAGAGCCAGGGAAGGGGGCAGCAGGGCTGCGTGCCGCCCTGGACCGTGGGCTGCTGGTGTTTGCAGTGGGGTGCAATTGTGTTATTAACATCTTATGGCTGGAGGCAGGGATTTTTGCTCATTGGGGAAAAGTGAGGTGATCTTTTTAATGCTTTTTAAGGACCTAACATCATCTGCAATTAATGTTTAACTCTAGTAATGAGCGTACTCCCTAGCCAAGCACAAGTGGTGCTGTGGTTGTTTTGCTAGGGCTGCAGAAGAGAAGAGGCGTTTCTGGGATGCCTCAGTGTGCGTTTCCCCGTTTCCCCATCGCTCCCGGCCTCGGATTTGCCAGCTGCTGGTGCCTCTGCCTCTCTCCCTCCTGCTGGGCTCCTGCTGTACCCTGGAGAGCGCTGCCTCATTTCTCCAGGCTTGAAGCTGCTTCTCTCTCATTTGCTAGTTGTTTTTCC